CGGTCCGGAGCGGAGGGTCGGGGTGAAATTCTCTTCTGTGGTTGGTCGACAGATTGGCTGGTCAAATCTGTCGAGGTCCTCGATGATGAGCTAGTCTCATCGCGGCGGTCGACAGATTTGGAGGGCAAATCTCTCGGCACACTACAACGCGTTCCGAACAAGCCGCTTCAATTCTCTCAGTGCCTTCTTTACCGTCCGATGACTGGGGTCAAATGTCTAGACGGCTCCAAACTCCTGACACGTGCTCCGTTTGCTTACCGCTTGATGCTTTCAAATTCCATAATGTTGCACCCCCCTTGACGTCATCATGTGCGGCGCACAGAACAGGTACCGCCGGTCCCTGTTCGTCGTGGCAACCGGGCAGGACTCAAAAAGGTGGGCAAGGTCTGTGCAGGGCTAACGTACAAGTATATTGGGGCTGAAGCTGTCTTTCATATCCACTTGTTTTAGTGAATGTCATATTGAAAACAAGACTCAAGAGTGCTGATCAGTTATATGGGAAGACATTTCTCTGCTAAATCACATATTCTATGGTGTCATAGCCCGCAAGCAGATAGTCCGCATAGTCCGCAGTCTCAAACTTGCTGCAGGTCCGTGGTGAGCATTCTAACATTGCTCAGTCGACCTCAACTGCTTGGACTGCTTTTGATCAGAATCTTTTGTCAAACAGGGAGCTGAACACGTTACAAAGGACCCGAGCTCTAGCTTGCAGGAAGTTGCTTCTGTAGCTGCCATGTCAAAGCATTTCTTATGGTCATTGTCAGCAAGTTACTTTGACATCAATCTGGGCAGGTCAAGTTGCTGGGAGCTGAGGCCAAGTGGGTCCTGAACCAATTGGGCAATCACTGTTCTGGTGAAGCAAAGATGGCTGACGACCTGGCAGAGGATGAAGTGAAGCTCAGTCCACATCTTCAAGAGTGGATTGGTGGCTGGGTGGACTCCAAAAGCAAAGGCAATGACTGGACCCTGCCCTCGGTCAATCTCAAAACTGGGAAGCTAAGCAAACCACTCGATACCAGGTTCTGGCCGTCGTGCTTCAAGGATTGTCCGGATCCTGTCATTGCCAGCAGGGGACAGACGCGGGAGAAGGTCCTTCAAATCTTCCAGAGTGCGGGCAAACGAGTATTCTTCTGCCATTGGCAGGTCCTCTACAACGACCTTGTGCCTATCATCTATTGCCCAAAGTGTGAACAGATCAAGAACCTGGAGGGGGATGGGTGGACTTTGGCGAAAGTGCGAAGGGTATGCATGCTGATTGGGCCAGCGTTCCTGGTGTCCAAGTGCTACCGCTGCAAGAAATGTCCAGGTAATAGCATTCACAAGCCTGTCTTTGTCAATCACCTGTCGGTCAGGCAGTCCACTCCGGTGGCAAATGGTTTGCCAATGCCCTGTTTGGGGCAGCCCTGTCAGTCTGCATGCTTTGCAGCAATTGTACGAAGAGGACTTGCTCAACTTACTGAACTGGAGCTGAGCTATGATCAGGTCTTTTTTTTTGCCATGATCCTGCTTTACTGGAGCTCCAAGTTTCCTGCTCTGGCCATGCTCTTTTGCAGAAAAGTGGTCATTCACTGGACATTTGACCGGACGCCAACATCTGAAGTCATCATCTCTAGATGACCTATTATACCCTGATAGACGTTATGTAATATGCAGGAAACGAAGGCAAGGACTACCAGTTTCGGGCCCACGACGAGGGCGTCATCAAGCAACTATCAGCCGCTCTTGAAGCATCACTCAATATCCGCTTCACGCAGCACGGGGCAGTTGACGTGTCCCTGATGGATTTTCTGCTTCGCAACGTCAGCAGCGGCGTTGCATTTGCGGACTCAGCGGATGCGGTGCAAGAGCTGCATTACATCACTTATAACAGGAGCAAGTTGGGGCACATGCAGTACACCGCTGAGCGAGGGAAGCTCGCACTGAAACGTGCTTCGTACTTCAACAGCGCCACTGTTGCGTCAGGGCAGGTGCCACCTCCAGCAGATTTTGGGGCGTACGAAGACAAGCAGGGCTATAGGGGCTGGATTCCCTCGCGCTCGTACCTTACAAGTAAGCATCTGATCATTGGCACCTGCAGTCTGGCAGATGCCTTACCACTCTTGCTTTGTGGTTGACAAATTGGATTGGTACATCTTGTCATGCTCAGATTGTCTCAGCACGCTTTTTAGTCTTTCATTTGGAAAGTAGGGTCTTGCGATCAAAGCCAAACCTTGAAGCTGAGGTGCACAACGCTTGTATGTCTGCAGACTTTGTCGTGCATCAGAAAAGGCTGTCCCTGTGTGGATGTGGAATGGTGAATACATACACTGAAACAGTTTGCTTATCCAATGTGGTTCTCTGATTACAGGGACTCTGTTGGCTTACTTGACAGAGCGGCTTGCCTGGCCTAAGGAGCGCCTAGCCATGGTTGACGGGCTCTACCTTCGGGGTGACCACACGTTCAGGTCTGCCTCAAAGGTCAAGGTTCAAGAGGGGGGCAAGGCTTATGAAGCTATGTACACCGTCATGAACGGGTTCAGTAAGGTGGCCGCTCAGTGGATGGTGGGCGATACCTCGTTCAGGGAGATTGAAGGGGGCTTGCGCGACTTGATGAAGCGCTATGAGGAGAACTTTCAGGATCGGGTAAGTCAGGATAGAGGTGATTGAAAGTCTTCTGGCTTTTTGAGATTCTGCACATATTTGAGCATAGTGTACCCTCTTGGCTTGTCTCTCATGACTTGAGGTAATCTCTTCATGGGGCAGACTGGCCTTGTCAAGATTGGAGCGGAAGACAAGCTGGGGGCTGTGCGATGAGATGATGAGATGCAGACTGAACTTGCCACCAGGGCCGTAATCGCATGGAACCCAGTTGAAGGCCCCCTCGTCAAGCTCTACGCCGTAATCCTCAGCAAAGACCCGCAAGATTGCATCTTGGAACTGTGTAATAACGCTTTCAAGGAACTCTCCCTCTGGCAGACCGGCGTCCCTCTCCATGTCTAGATACGGTTTACAGGGCCTACCCTCGACTAAAACTTCCTCCCCATGAGGCTGCCCTCTAAAATTGTCCATTGCAGTGGGCCAATCTGGGTACGATCCGTAACTCCTATACCCTTTGCCACGGGACAGGTGACGGATCTCAACCCTGTGACCAAGCAGAGCGGCAAAGCGCTTACCGAATTTCTGTGGCCCGTCTTTTGAATCTTTGCAACAGAGTCCAGGGAGGCTGGAAACTTTCCAAAAGAAAGACGTACCCAGCTTCATCTGTCGAATGATCTGAACGATGCCGCCCTGAAACTTTTCACTGTGCACAACCGTGCTTTCGGGAGGCAGATGTCGGATGGGGTGCTCGCTGCTTGGTATATCTGGAACGAACTTCGGAGGCTGCAGGAAGAAGAAGGAGAGCCACATAAGCTTTGAGCTACACGACGTA